GCACCCCATCCACCTGGCCATGCCGTGCCCATCTATTATAGAACCACCAGTAGCAAAACGGAAGAGTAGTTAGCGTTTTGAATTATTATTATCCAAAATTATTAAAAACCATACGGAAAACAAAACACTAAAGTCTAGCCAAAATAAACGTGACTCATGCATGACGCATTACCTTTTCCATTATTGGTAAGTCGAATAACGTGACTCATGCATGACGCATTACCTTTTCCATTATTGGTAAGTCGAATAACGTGACTCATGCATGACGCATTACCTTTTCCATTATTAGTAAGTCGAATAACGTGACTCATGCATGACGCATTACCTTTTCCATTATTGGTAAGTCGAATAAATGTGACTTATTTAATTATGACAGTACGTTTGTTTCGAAACCCGGATTCTAGCGTTATAAGTCCACAGATCTTTTTAATAGTGTTTTATAATAAGCTATAGTGTGGTTATGTATATTATGACCTTTTAAATTATTTGTTTTTAAGAAATTAATTATTATTATGTTATACATATATACATATATACTATGTTATATATGTGGGCACAGCACAGGTAGCCCTTGTACAACTTTGTGCTTAATAACAAAGAAACAAAGTTGTTTGAATAAAAGTATTGCCCTCCCCCCCCCCAGTAGTGCAGCGGTAGGTCTGAGGACTTACAACGTTAGAATCCGGGTTTCGATACCCGTGGTGGGCATAGCACAGATAGCCCATTGTGTAGCTTTGTGCTTAATTACAAACAAAAATAATTGTATCTACAACTTATTTACTCATTCTGTTGAAGGGGAGTGCGAATGTATGTTTCTCTCGTGATATTCCTATTGTTAAAATAAAACAAGGTGTACTAATATATACAAGACAAATAATACATTATACAATCATTCAGTCGAGCATATATCAAAAACAATCAAGATACCAAGCTTTCGAGTGTCATCCTGCATGTTGTTTTATCGCTCAGCGATAATGGATTAATTTATTTCTTCGATAAATGAATAACAATTGTTACAGATTACGTGTACTTGTAGGCCTAACTTTGAATACAACGGTTCAAAATATGTTTCACCGAACTTCCGAAAACTAACGTACGCCTAACTCACAAATACAAAACGTACTTGCAGTATTTCACTGTCTAACTCTCACTCAATCGCAGACGCAATAACTCTCAATGTCTAACTGACACTGAACTAACTCGATCATTGATTCATTGTTTCACTGATTCTCTATTCATATCGCACTCGTTTTCTATTTACTACACGAAATTTCTAGATTCTTAACTTCAAAGAAATTTCTTGATTGCGGCATGCTCCTTCTAGCAAACAAACATCTAAGGTGAGGTATTAAGAATATAACATACAACAATATATATATATATACAGATAAACCAACAACGTTTTACTACTGTGGTAATTGTC